TATATATATATATATATATATATATATATATATATATATATATATATGTGTGTGTGTGTGTGTACGTGTCTGTGTGTGTGTATGAATATATTTCCAGAAAGAACTATGTCTCTGGAAATGTAGTTACACTATATATATTTTGCCATTCTTCATCTTATGAAAACAGATACTACAAGCACTTACAGAAATGCTGTCTTTAGTCTTCCACACATTTTGTAATTACGTATGCTTGCTTTTCAAAAACCATCTCATTGATTCCTTCAGAGGGAAGTAGTTTAGAAAATGTAGTCTTGTGCTTGTAACCAAACATCTCTGACATGTAACCACAGTACTAAACCTTATCATTCAACAACATCCAAAGCACAGCTGACAGAAAATGGCCCAGCCCACTGTCTTATGCATATCACATTTGCACCCTTACATTGACCTGTTTCTGATCCGCTTCTGTCCCATGTTCCTATTGGCAGCCAGAGGAGTCGGATCTTCCATACCCACCCCCCCAGAGGGAGCCAAATGTCTTCATGGTTCCTCAGGGGATCAAACCTGTCCTGCAGAGAACTGCCATTGAGGTATTTGCTAAGATTGCAGAATTTTTTGTTTGTTTATAGTTGGATTCTGGTGTGTTCCAAGCAAAGAATTGGCTCTAGCTTGTAGTCCTCATCATTACTAACTAAATATTCTGTTATCAAATTACATTTTGATTGAGAAAGGGATGGCACATAAAGATTTTCCTGTGTTCCTTCCTCTATTTGTAAGATCCTAGCGTGGGGCGTTCGAAACCTGAAGAGTTTCCAGCTGGCCAGCGTCACGTCTCCAAGTCTGCAGGTGGAGTGCGGTGGCACCTCCATCCAGAGCTGTGTCATCCGCAGTGTGAAGAAGAAGCCAAACTTTGACATCAATACACTCATCATTGATGTGGTAAGAACACAGAGGCACACAGCTCTGTATATGAATGTCCACACAGTGTAATCAGTGCCGAAAACGGACGCTTTCATGACTCATGGAGCTCTGCTATGATGTGGGTTGTTTCAGTCATTTGTCTTCATCAGTAGAGCCACAATAATAGCAGCAGAGAGGACAACTCTAAGCTTCCACCTCTTTCTTTTTTTCCCCCAAACATAACTCCAAAATCTTTTGGAATAAAAGCAGAAACTGCCGTTTTGAAATAGTTCCAGTTGTTTAGAGCTCATGTATAATCACAAAGTGAATATTTTTGCAGATGCAGGGTGGGAGACTTTACTAAGGCAACGTTGATTTTTTTTTCTTTCACTACCACTAGGGTTTAAAATGCTGACCTAGAGTTTTCAGGTAAAGGCTGCTAAATGAAAAGAAATAGTCATCTTATAGTCAGAAAAAAGATCATGTGTTTAGAAGTTGTCACATATGCCACGTGCACCAGTTGTTAATTTAGTCTTTTGTTTGATGCTTAGCAGCTTTGGTGGAGGAGTTTAACTGAAAATCATTTGGGTAAGAGTGCAAACGAGGAGCCGAAAGAATGAACAAAGAGGAACTGCAGTTACAAATGCGTCATCGTATGGATTGTTCCTAAACTTCATACACGTGTGCACTTAACCCCAGCTCGCTGCCACTTGTTTCATCATTTGTTTTAATTAAGTTGACATAGCTGGCCACTCATTATTGTACTCCTGTGAGAACATATTTCCACTTAGTTTACATTGCTGCCATTACATTCCTCCAAAGTGTTTTCTTGTGAAAACCTAAAATGAAATATGGAAATGTTACGCACTTTTTCCCTAACAGCAGCAGCAGCTCCAAATCGCACTCTGCAGTTAAATGTTAACAATATTAAGTTCTGAAGTTGATCACCCCAGTGTTTTATTATGACAGTTTTAACTGGAGAATGGAAATATTCACATATTTTCCCCTAAAATACAATCCCTTGCTCAGACTTGTGTAGTTTAACGTTAACAAGATTTAGGTGCTACTTTGACCACCACAAGGGCATGAATACTCCAATCGGACTGTGTAATATGCACATATTTTCCCCTTCAATTCATTTAATGTCAACAACATTAAGTTCTTGAGTTGAAGTGTTTTATGAAAGAAAATGTCATGTCCATAGTTTGATCATTTACAGCTCTCTGAAGAGTCTAACCATCTAATAACCTCTCTGTTGCGTGGAGCAGCTCGGTCGCTTATCCCCAGAGCTTGACCTGGTTTCTTTATACAGTATATTGGTTTATTGGCTATAAACCCTGTTTCTTCAGTGTTCTACAGCCAACATAGAGGCTGTCTGACCTCGCCTTTCTGAGACTCTAGATGGCACCCTGCAGACTCATCAGGCCTCGCATGCTAATCTAGCCTTTGATGTCATCTTATAAACGTCTCAGTGAGGTTAAAACCTCTAGTTCAATTGAAGGATAACTCCAAAGGCCATCTCTCAACAGAGGCTACCCTTAGAAGAGCTTTACATGCCACCAATTGTCATCAAAGTCATCGACAATCGGCAGTTTGGGCGGAAGCCGGTGGTCGGTCAGTGCACCATCCGTTCGCTGGAGGAGTTCCGTTGCACTCCAGAAGAAGAGCAAGCTGCCCCGGAGGAGGAAGAGGAGGAATGGAGACGTAAGAGACGGAATGACGGGTGAATGCAAACAAAGTCACAGACCCACGATTTCCGTTAGAGAACACCCCTCTCTCTTGTATGTCTGTCTGTGAAGGAGAGACCCCCCACGTGACCTCTGGGGAGGTCTATGTTGACATCGACGATGAGGTGCCACTCATGCCCGACCAGGTAAGAATATCTGTGAGTTCGTGGGACTGAACAGAAAAGATGTTGATTACAAATTTATTGTAGAGTTTCGACTACAGCTGAACTCTTGTGCTACATTGTTTTCTTAGTACTCATGTGGGCTCGGTTCGTGGGAATGCTGAGTGCATATGTGGACTTTTCTGGAGGGTGTGTGGTGGTGCAACCAATAAGTGTAAAGGACAAGTAGTGTGTTTCATGCCCTGACATGATGACCTGGCAACCCTGCCTGTGGTTGGTGGTTGTCATGGCAACCTCACCATTTTTTAGGTTCAAGGCTCTTGGATTTTCTTTCTTTCTTTCTTTCTTTCTTTCTTTCTTTCTTTCTTTCTTTCTTTCTTTCTTTCTTTCTT